AAATCTGTTCCGATGAAGAAACAAACTCATCTACATCTTGAATGGTCTGAGGGTGAGTACATTTTCAGTAAATGTTTATTTTTGGGTGAATTACTCCTTTAGGTGCCTTAACAAACACCGAAAAACAAACTGGTGAACAAACACTAAAAGATTTCCTCTCTGCCTTTAAGGTTTCTATTTTAATACATCTTTTGCAATAGTTGAACATGACTCACTCAGCCATCAGGTCACTGTTTTCAGAGAACGACATCTGCAATAAACAATACTTGCAAAGACTCTTGCAATTAGCAATAATAGCATAACAGAAGCTTGATTCCATTAGTATATGTTAAATGAATGGTGAAATGTGATTATGAAATATTGATAATACTATTCACAAATGCATGGTGATGATGATGCCTGCATCAGTTCAGAAACAGAACTCAGGCATTTAACTTTTACACCAGTTTTAAAGAAACATCAGAGTAATAACCGAGCAGTTAGTTATAGTTATAAGAATGTTCCATGAACATTACAACATTTTGTCTATTTTGAACATTTACATAACTTTTAAAAGACGTTAGTGAAAGTTGTGAGAACGTTCCCTGTTAGCTGGGATAGTGCCTATAGGATTCAAACTAAGTCTGTGTGGATTCGAACCATCAGAGCTTCACCTCACCATGACCTTATACAGAACAATATAAAGCTGAAAGCCCAATACTAACATCTAAATCAGATCTGGCAACAAAAACAATCTGGAATTGACGGTAATGTACGTCTGCGTGCAGAACAACAGCTCAATCTTAATAGGACGGTTCAAATATGAGGCATGGATGGACAGTCTGGAGGATCAATGCAAAAATCATCTTTCAAGATGTCTAGAATCTCTCTGCATGTCTCATGAGGGAATCACTAGCAGCTGAGTGAGATCTCCAGAGAACTCTGTTCTGCTGCCAAGAACTGATGCAGATAAATGACGGGGATTAGACAGAGATCGAGAGAAACACGGCCCGCTGCCCTTAGGGAGAACACATGATGGCTTATTAGAAACACTTAGAGCAGCTCGTCCACTTATCCCGCATCTCTAACCCACTATGAAGAAAATCATGACATTTTAAAATTTTAATAGCCTTAAAATTTGCGAGATTTTATTATATTTTGACAAATGATAAATACATTATGTAAATACTTTAATAAAATAAGTGTAACAATTTATAATAAATATTATATTAATCTGTAGTTTGACAAAAGATCAAAACGGTGCATAAATACAATTCAAAGAATAATTGCAAACATTTATAACATTTTTATAATAAATACAGTAATTTTCTAAAAATATAAATGATTTATATCAATATTATTTTATTTTATAATTATTTAAAATTATTATTATTTTTAATTGTATCCATATTATTATTAACATATATATTTATGAATCATTTTAAAACATCACCACCAATTCTACAGTTTTATATGCTGAAATGAAAAGTCCATTACAAAAACGTTCCTTGCACATCAAACAGTTGTGGTTTAAAACAAAAAAGCACTACATGTTCAAAAAAAGAATATGTTTGGAACTGCATGGTCATACAAGCTCCCTAAAATAGACCGTGCAGTCCCAAAAATAAACATTTGCGACCTGTACCGCTTTGCCAAAGATGTTGCTAAAGCTTTATGAGTCAGTGTTCTGTGTAAGTCGTGTAGCACACTTGAGTTGTGTAAAACCTGTGCTACATCTGTATTACAGACCACTCTTTCATAAGATATACAATGACACGAAATCAGCAAGCTAGAAGAAAGACCTGCTGCTTTGAAGTAGTAAAACTAGACAGCTAATCTGTACCATTAGAAACCACCATACTAAAGTAATTTCAATGTGTATATATACGACTTCACTGGCGTTTAAAGGGATAGTTCACTCGAAAATGAAAATTCTGTCATTATTTACACATCCTCATGTCGTTCCAAACCTGTATGGATTTCTTTCTTCTGTTGAACACAAAATGAGATAGTTTGAAGAATGTTGGTAACCAAACAGTTGACTGTAGCCATTGATGTCCATAGTATGTTTTTTCCATTTCCATTTAATATGAATACTTTAAGCTAAAAACATGTACAACAACTTGTAAAACTTTTCATGTGACTATACTTTTTTACATCTCAAGTTATATTAATCCACACGCCAAAGTTACTTCTATACTGTATAATAGTACGGTAAAAAATAACTACTGTAAAAATAGTCACTAATTAATGGTAAACTGATATACTGGCAAGGCAAACATCAACAGACCTGTTAGTATCTCCTTGTATTAATTACAGAATCTACCAACAAACATAATAATAAACAAACATTTTTGGTTTTCAATATTTAGAACCTTATTGTATAGTTTTACCAAGTTGCAATATTTTGAGAAACTGTGAGAAATAATACACAGGAATAGACCTTGTGGTTCTTTGTTCCTTGCAATGTCTTTGATCAGATTTAGCTTTGACTTTGAGTCTTTCCGCCTGTTTTGAGACACAGGACTGGTATTTTTCTCTACTTAAAAGAGACACAAGTGTGTCAGTTTAGTTTATGTCTGAGCTATTTCCCCATCCTGTCAGACACAGATCTCTCATATCATCTCGCCATGTTTCCGCCCCTTTGCTCAGGATCTGGCATTGTTTGGCTTTTACGGCTGCATTCATGTTTGTTTTAGTTTGACATATACACCCCCCTCCACAGTAGCTCATCTATGTTTCTATTTAACGCCGAGGTTCCTGGGAAATGTCTGCGTCTTTTCTTCCTTCCGTGCAAATGTCCTAAGATTATTCACCATATAATTATTATGCATATAATACATCAGACAGCTCACTCTCAGAGTACTACAATAAACTCCTTCATGGTTTGAATAAGTCTTTTGTACACGTTTTGCTATTGACAAACTGAGAAGTGCATGAATTCATAAATATCCATTATCACATTAAAGCCTTTCTGGATTGGGTGGCATGCAAATCAGATTGGTTTGAAAGGCCATGTGCTCAGATATGTTTATCTAAAGAGAAGGTCAACTGGACTCATTTTATCAGTTCTATTTGAGAATGTGAATTGGACAAAATCACCGAACATGGAAAGCTTCCCACACTTCCTGCCTTAAAAGCCTCTGTATGCATCCAGCTATGAAGAGAAACTACAGTCAAATCATGAAAAAAAAAAATATTGATAAAATATTCCACGTCTAAATACTGTATGTTACGCTCAATAGCGCCCTCATCTGTGTGTTTGTAATATGTACCACATTTACTTAGCATAAATGTATAGATTTCTGTAAATTACACAGTATTTAACTGTAATATGAACTGTACTTTACTGTAAAACAGTTATCTTTCTTTTCTTTCCTTTTTTCCTTTCCTTTCCTTTCTTCCAAACTGTGCTTTTAATGGTACAGCTGTGTAATCGCTATGTAATCGCTTGGCGCTACCCATATATAAGTGTATAAATGTACAGCATGCATTTACTGCTAGCGTAAAACCCGCAACGTTCGTCTGCAAACACCGTGGCGTCGAGACCAAATCACCATGTTGATTTTGGCCTGCATACTGGGTACAGTGTGTTCAAAAATGCTTTTCATAGCAAGCTAATTTTATATAATAGTTTATCTACCATATATAATAGTTCTCACGATAAATAACATGGGATTTGTGCCCTATTCATGAAAATCAGCATGCATTTTACAAACATAGTACAGCAGTTCAGGAAGCTTGTTATCACTGTTCCCATCGCGTCGACTTTAACCATTTACCAGCTGTTTGTTTTGCTGTCGTACTGTTTACAACAGTCCCAACGCTGATAAGACATATGCAAAGGAACGTCGTGCTCCATCCAATGAAATTACGCCATTGTTGATCATCCTGTTGAGTTATGAATTTAAAAAATGATGAACAAATTGCTGAGATTTCAGATCACATTTAATGATTTTCATTCAAGAGCAGATTCACACGAATCTTCCTCTGGTCAACACTTCCATGGCATTTCTCTCTTTCAGCCACAAAAAGTCTTTTCATCTCTCTCATACACACAAATACTTGTACGGAGACTGCAGTCTAAACCAGCTGAGGAGATCTTTAGGAGAACATACACCATCAGCTGTAAAGCACATGCCAACTGGGCAACAGTCACAAAATGACCCAACTAACCAATTACATACAGAGCAGTTGCATTCAAGACACGTTTTTAGAGTCCTTGCATAAGGACTTGACAATCTCCCTTTGGAACAACCTTCAATTAAAAATCCATTCACATCCACTCGTCCGCACAGAGCACCAATGTCCTGTATCTTAAAAGAGAAACTGACAGAATAAAAAATAAAACACCGATCTATTCCACTGGTATGTAACTGCAAGTAAAGGAACGCACGTCTCATTAAAAAATACACAGCATTAAAAATCAAAATAAATTCACAATGATCAAGATCACATTTGAAGTGTTAAACTGTTAATATCTTCTTCTTGCCTATACATATGTTAGGTTAGCTATATCAATAATATTCCCTTTTGGAATACTAAAAGCCTAACAGTCAAGAGTTAAGTCATGAAAGCTGCAACAAACATCCATAGTGGACCGGTTTGTAATTGCTTTCCTGTGCAGATATGGAAATTTAACCAAAAGCACTCGTATGTTTGGGAGGCAGTCACCGCATTTGCGGTCAAAATCATCATAGTCGATTCCTGGCACCACAAGTATGGTGCACTTCTATAGTATACTCATATATTACAACTCAATTGTCAGTTTCTATATTTTTTTTAAAGCAAATCCACAGCAGCAAATCTGCTGCTGCCACCGACTGCTCTAAGACAAACAATGGACTTGCAAAAAACTTGCAAAAGCTAAAGCAACCGAGACATGCGTGACATTCTCTTTGGCACATTTTGTCACTGGCATATTTCTACAGTTTACGTTTTTCAAATTGGTACAGGGAAAAACTTTTTAAGTAAAAAGCATCATAGATTTAGTACTTTATGCTCAGAAAAACAAAACACACACAAGAGTTTGAACACACAAACGCTCCCTAATTCTTCACAGATAAAAGTGCATTAACCTTTTACTCTTGTGAAACATTCAAATGTAGTGTAGCCAAACAGTTCAGTTTGTTCAACATTCAGATGAGCCATAAATTTGGGTTTTCTTGAAATGCATCTGGGGAAAAAAAGCAAATTTCATAAGCTTAAAATACTTCGGGCCATCAACTTTAATCAACTTTTCCAAGCCAATTTCTCAGAAAGCTTCATTATCATTTAAAAAGCAACCAAGACTTTTAGACAGCTGCATCGGCTGTTTTATTTGGAGTTTACTTTGTGCCAAGCACAGAATTAACGAGAAAGCTGCTGTGAAAATGGAGCGATCTAGGATCGGATTCATCAAAGCATTATGCAAAGCATTGCATAAGCTTGTGCAAACGTGCTACAAAATAATGTGCCATCCAAGAAAGCAACAGAGGCATAAATACGTATGGTTGAACACAACTGGAAGGCATGACAGAATTTGCATGCTCATATTGTACAAATGTTGGTCATTTAACTAAGTGTGCTTAGCTTATTTAAATATTTAGCAGCAACTGGTTCCAGACAAATTTGATCATCATCTCTAAGTGGCAAGATTCAACTGAGATTATCAACGTCAAAGATTGCAGTGGGATCATTAACAGAAAAGAAAAGGCATGTCCCCTTTAGACACGAATCGTTGTGTCTGCTTAAAACGAATGTTTCATATTTTTTGATAACTGCATGGCAGTGCAAGCTTGTAGTCAATTATCACTGTTACAAACTTTGAATAAGATAAGCTTTGTTTCAAGGGGTCAAGGCCTTTCGTTTAAGTGCTTCATAGTTAAACCATTTAAGGTTGAGTTTTATATCTGTGCCGTTTTGACTGTAATTCTCTGATTTGTCGACAATTTAAGAATACATTTGGTAAGCTAAACAGTTTTGTGAGTTCATTTTGAACAACAAATATTAGGCATTGGGCATAAGGGCCAAATAGTTTACAGAACTGAACTCACCACATACTCATTCTGCTTTTCAAAACAAAGCATATCCACAAAACATAAATGCATGAAAAAGTGCATTATACTGTGACTTTTTCTTGTTCATAAATACCGATTCTTACGAGACGAAAGGGAGATGAGAACTGTCATGGCAACACACCTACCTCACGCCCGAATCATAACAGATGCTTGCGATGTAGGTCAGGGTAAGTGGGTCGCTAGCTGAGATTTTTCGAAAAATCTGTCCCTTTGATCAAAAATTGAAATAATCAAGATGAGCAATACAGAAACAAATTATGGAAATAACTGGTGAAGATGATGGCATCTCATACACATGTAGGAAGGACACATGGCCTAATTAGCAGGAGAAGGAATTGGCTCTGCTGTGGCCGCGGAGGCTTGTTTGGGAGCGGGTGTAGGCGTAGAGGCTGATGTGGGCATAGTTGCGGGCTTTGGGGAGGGCGTAGACGGGGTCGTGGCGGGAGCTGTGGTCGTAGTGGAAGTGGAGGTAGCAGCTAAGACTAGGGGCTTGGGATCAGGAGTGTCACTTTGGGCAGGAGTGTCATTTGCGGGTGATGCAGTCTTGTTGTAGTTAAGATTGAGGATGTGCTGCTGTAGGTGCCTGATCCAGTCCTCCTGTACCGAGAGAGGGCCGTGAAACTCCACGTCACAAAACCTAAAATAAATTATTTACAAATAAATTACAGTTGGTTCTAAGGGCTTACACATTTACAGCTCTTTTAAACATACAATCTAGACACCGAAAAGGCACTAAGAACATGAATATGATCTTGAGTAAGCAATATTATTTAAATTTTAAGGAGTCATAGACATGATCCCATAACAAAGACTGTTCCAAAAGACAGATACACAGTTTTAGGCTGAAAAAAAAATGTATATAACATATAATTTGAGTTGAGAGAGATACCGATTATAAATATTATTTACTTAGCAAAACATATCAATAAATATAATATATAAAATACAATTAATATAACAGCTCTAATAAAAAATACCAATGGTCACACTGTAAGGTCCAGTTCTCGCTATTATCTATGACTTTTGCCTCAAATAACTCCTCATTTGCTGCTTATTAATAGTTAGTAAGGTAGTTGTTAAGTGGGGTAGCATTAAGGGATCTAAAATATGGTCATGCAGAATCAGGCATTAATATGTGCTTTATAAGTACTAATAAACAGCTAATATGCTAGTAATATGCATGTTAGTTAATAGTGAGAACTGGTCCTTAAAGTAAAGTGTTACCATACCAATTTATTATTGCACCAAATATATGTGCAATATTTATTTTTATGCTTACTTGATCAAGTATAGCAACATGCTAACATCAACTGAGCTGAGAGATGTAAGGTTACTGCTTGTTGCCACGTGGAGTTGCTACAATTGTAGATAAGGTGATTATAAATATATTTTACTAAACAGAGTAAAGTATCAAAATAAGTAAGTTAAAAAGTGGACTATTCTACCTAGTACGTATGTGTATTATGCATTCTTTATATTTATTGCAGTATCATGTTAAATCATACTGGTAAAAAATGTATAGCCTGAATGCACTGTAAGTCGCTTTGGATAAAAGCGTCTGCTAAATGCATAAATTATATTATTAAATTATATTATATTATGTTATTAGCTCAGCAACATTACCGCCACTCTAGATTGTTCTAAAACAGGTCACTTACAAGGCTCCATATCAGTTAGCATGCTAGTAGGCAGTAGATATCAAGGTAGCTCAATAGGTTATGGAATAGATCTAATATGCAAGTACAGATCTAATATGGAACTCACCGACACTTGAGTGAGTAAATTTTACCCACAAGTCTAACCAGCGGGGTGGAGGGGGGCTTTGGCACAAGGGCAGGAACGGTACTGGAGCGAGGCTTCGGGGGGCCACTCTCTCCCTCCCCTCCTTCAGCATGTGACGGGTGTTTAAGTGGTCGCCTCTCAAATCCTTAAGAGAAAGAAATGTGCAAATTAGGTTCAATTTTGCAGGTAGATAGGGGAAAAGGAATAGGAAGAGATTAAGGTAAAGTTGTACTCAGACCTCGTGGCAAACGCACGTTGAGTTCACTATGAGCCACCTGCGCATGTGGAAGGGCATTATTGGAACGATGACTGCCAGGCTGTGGAATAAGGCCATGCTGAGTGGAACTTCCACTCCTGACTTTTGTGTCTGTTCCCCGTGACGATAACCTCCAGGAACAACTGTTGACATCCCGTCCAATTGCTCTCTTTTGAGGCAAAGTGAGAGATGCCCATTTGGCCACAGCGGGCTTTTGGGGAACAGGAGTAGTAGGTTCAGAGTCACAGGACAGTGAGAGAGCGGAACTGCACCTCTGCAAAAAATTACAGTCATTTTAATTGATATTAAAACACAAACTTTTAAAATATACACCACAGAATTTCAATGGGGGGTGGGGATTCTTGTAGGTAAAGAACCACAAAATTGTTCCAGCTGCTTTCATACTTTCTTCTGGGTATAACGGGCTCCTTGTGCATAACTTTGCTGCATCTCTGCTGCCTTCTGTGGACGGCTGCGTATCCAGGCACTCAGTGTCTCAATAGGCGAACCATTTACACACCATTCCGTCACGCCAAACTGTCGTAGATGTGCTCGAGCGTGACTGGCCAGCGCCTTCCGGTTCTCAAAGTAGAATCCACAGAGTTCACAACTGGCATCTGGAAAGGACAAACAAAATGATGAAGTCACATTGTTCTTGCGACTATTTGCACAACAAGGAAACAAGCAAGAAATAATGTGCCAAACATGCAAACAATGAGTAGTCCACAATAAGACCAGAAACATCTAAAGCAGTGTTAATTTTGACAGCAAATTTTGATTTAGTTTTAGTCATAGTCTTTTGACTATAATGACATTTAGTTTTAGTCATCCCCTTTAAACCCGGATGCACGGATGCAATGTACTGATACACGTTCTCCCTGCTGTTTACGTTTACTTCAGACGTAATTAACTGTTTACGTGAATACTCGTCAAAACTGACAATTCGACATAATTTTGTGTGTAATTCTCCGTTCATGCGCCGCAAAAGAGTACTCACTGGCTGTGAGACGCGCTTTCCGTGTGTATGCTTCAGTGTCTGCGCTAAGAAAACCGGACCGAATTGAGCTCTCCCTTGCGTCGTCAGATTTATCCATATGTTTGCTCTTCTCTTACTCCCACATATTGACATTTTTTAACGTTTTATGCGACGTGCAGCAAGTGTATGTTAGCTCATGTCCCGCCGGTTCATATGTACGCATCTACCCTCCCTAACATTTTCGTCTCGTTTTTATTCGTTGTAGGAAATGTCAATAGATTTACATCATAGTTTTTGTCATTCAAAAATAGTTTTAGTTCGTTATCGTCTCGTTGTCGTCTGTGAAAAAAATGTAATTGACGAAAATTATTCGTCAACGAAATTAACACTGATCTAAAGAAAGCAAACAATGCAAGTTTTGATATCATTTTTTGCTTATAATCACCAACATGATTGGCTCTATTTTAAGTCTTGGAATTCTGAATTAGGGTCTTTTATTTATTTGAGTCATTCTTCTGCAAACATAGAAGCAAAACAGACACTGCACAACAAATAGTCTTCAAACAATGTCATGGAAAAGAACCAAATAAGGAGTTTTGTAAAAATATACCCTTACCCATGTGGCCTACCCCATGCTTCTCCATTGAGGCTTTACCCTTAAAGGAATAGTCCTGTGGGGGAGGCAAGAAGTTTTTAGATTGGATGAGCAGTTTTTCTCCTGGCTGTCCTTCCTCCAACATCACCTTCTTCTTCAACGGAGGCACTCCAAAAACCTTCCCCACAGGTGAGGTGGAGGATAAGGCAATGCTTCCCAGCCCATGCTTATGGAGGCGCGAACCAGAGTGGAGCAGGTTAAGAGGTGACTTGCGGGACAGAGCAGAGGACTGATAGCCCATACTGTTCAATGAAATCCCACCATCCTGTCCCGGTTCCTCCTTTATGCCCAAGGCAACAGATGCAGGGGTAGTGCCTTGTCTCCTCATGACTTCCCAAAGTGTGTCAATGGGCGAGCCATTCACAGACCACTCTGTGATACCCATATGCCTCAAGTGTGAACGTGCGTGGCTTGAAAGGCCTTTGCGGTTTTCAAAGAATTCGCCACAGAATTCACAGCGAATATCACGGGAAGGTTCCTTCTCCTGAGTCATAACTGTAGGAGGAAAGAGAGTAAAAAGACAACAGATTGAGCTGGGAATGATTTAGTCATCCATTAAGATCACTGAAAATGCTAAAAGTAAACAAACAAACACACATCACAGGTGTGAAAACATACCCAAGTTGACTGGATAAATATTGTCTGAAGTGTTTAAACTGGAATGTAGTGGCTCTGGATTGTAGCTTTCATTTACTCCCATGTCTGATCCTTTCATGGTAACCTCAACTATTTCAGGCTCTGGTTTCAGTTTAACCAGCTCTAAGGTTGGTGAAGAACTGGCAGTGGATGTCGAAGGAGACATTTTGCGGGTAGAAGGCTGGTCGTGGCTTGGTGTTTGGGCAAAGTGGAAAGGCAGGCGCCCAAGCACATTCCCTGGTGGGGAAGAGGACTGGAGCGCAGGCCGAGACAGTCCTGGGCTCTGAGATTTGGGGGACTTTAGAGGCATGATGGACGGTAGGCCTCGACGAACTATAATCTCTTTTAATGTGTCAATAGGTGAGCCATTCACAGACCATTCGGTGATCCCAAGTTGGCGCAGATGGGAGCGGGCATGACTGGAGAGGCCTTTGCGGTTCTCAAAAAGTTCTCCACAGTATTCACAGCCCACGTCTTTCATTGGCTCTGGTAGAAGTGTACAGAACAATTTATCAGACCTAAGTCAGTCTGTATGTGTAAATTACCTTACATAATTGTGGAAGTCAAACAATAGACAAGGACATGAAAAAACACATAAAAGTTGTTACCTATAGGAAAGGACATCACTTCTCCACTACTGAAACGAAGGACTTGCAACGAGGAGGGTTTCAGCTTCTTTGGAGGTGGGCCCAAAAAGGGGTGGTTAGAAGAGGAGGTAGCTTTGGAGCCAATGGTTGTCCTCATAGAAGAATTTGCCATTTTATATAGGACAGGGCTGGAGGGAAGAGATCTCTTAGGGGAAGTGGAAGTGGAGGGTTGGAGGGAAGTCATGCTGGTCTTCTGGGACCTCAGGTCCTCAGGACCATCTGAGAGAAAAGAATTTGCTCTGTGCTTAAAGTCATCAGTCAAGATGAACCGGTTGAGTAAGTCTATGGGGGAGCCCTTGGATTCCGAGTACTCAATCCCAAAATGGCGCAAATGGGCACGAGCATGACTCGAGAGGCCTTTTCTTGTTTCAAACCATGCACCACATAACTGGCAAATAATGTCTTTAGAGTCCACGTCCATTGCTAGAAAGGAGTGTGAGAGGAACAGAAAAGTTAAAGAGATTGTAAGAAGGACAGACAATAAATGTGCAAAAGGAACAAATTGATGACCACAACACTACAAAAACAAATCACAAACAATTTGTTGACATTCTTTATTAGTATTTAGTACATTAAATGCTTTCTTACTAAGATTCAATGGGGCATCCGTCTCTTGCGGTGCCCAGAATGGTTTGTTCGGACTGGAATGGTTTGTAGACTGGTTCTTTCCTATGGTCTTATGCTCCTGGGTTCGCAGTGGGGAAGACACGGGTAGTAGGGAAGAGATGGGAGCCTTTCTCAGCACTGGGGAAGGGGACCGAGACTTTACAAATGGAGAGGAAGGCAGAGAGCCAGCTGCAGAGTGAGTAGTTGGGGAAGAGGAAACCTTAATAGCGGAACCCGCAATAGAGAATGGGACAGTGGGCTTGGTGTCCAGCAGCCCTTCTCCAGTTTCAACATCTTTTGTGGGGCTAGGTATAGGAGTAATAGGGGCATGGTGCTGGGGCTTCTTAGGGGATTCCACAGTAGAAGAGGTGCCAGTAAAGTGTGCATCAATGGAGCGTTCCTTAGTGATCTGGTAGAGGAGATCAATGGGTGCGCCACTGTTCTCCGACATGCCGATGCCGAGCTGCCGTAGGTGAGAGCGGGCATGGCTAGACAAACCACGACGAGTCTCAAAGGTAGCACCACAAAACTCACATTTCAACAGGTTAGAGCCTGGAAAACAGAGAAATAGTGATTCAGGACCTATCTACACTTATTCACTTCATGCATTTTGACAGATGGGAATGCTAACCAATTTTTTTCAATTTATTCACTAAGCGGAGTTAATAAACCTTTACTGACTCTCCATTGTGGAAATCAAAACAAATTTTTGTAAAATGTCACGTAAAAAGACAGAAAATCAAAGTGACAGACCAGACTATTAAGGAAAATTTTATGTAACATACTGTATTTCATCCCATCAGCTCAAATATTCATGTTCATGCAATTAACACTAGCAACTTCAGATGTTTTTAAACCATTTTTAAACATTACAATTTCTGTCCATATTTACTAACTATCAAGTCATTCCAAACCTGTATGAATCTCTTTATTTTCTGTGGAACACAAAAGGTGAATTTTTAAAGAATATCCTCAGATTTGGAACAACATGCTAGTGTGTAAATGATGATGGAGTTTTCATTTTCGGGTGAGCTATTATTTTAAAAGTAAATTAAAAGACTTGAGATTAAAATAAAATTCATATTACCCATAGCATCTGTCTCTTTGGATTCAGGGCTCCGTTCCTCAATGGAGAACAGGGTCTTTTCTCCTGGACTTGTGGCCAATTTATCTGCAACAGGCATTTGGGCCTCCTCTTCTTCCTCTTCCCCATCCTCTGCCTCCTCCCCACCTGTATATGCATAGACAGAGACAACATTTTTAAATTAGCTAAATGTAGAGTCAGAACCACCAAGGTCTCAAATGAACGTTTCCCTTAAACAAACTGTAACTAGCTTTACCTTCACCTAATGCACAGAATATATCAAATAAACATATTTATAATTCATGCTTAATTACCTGGCCAGCTGATTCTGTAAGATTATCTGTTAAAAGACATCTGCAAAATATTTTCCTCATTATGGGGACAGAAACTTATAGGGCAATCACAAAATATTTAGTGTGATGTCAATTTTAGAAAAATAATTTTAAACGGTTTTCAACGGTTTTATAGCCCTTAAAATTCACATAAATTTTTTCCTTTGAGTTCTGTTCTGTCATTTGATCTGTCCTAGACACATTTCTAGCAACATCAGCCCTTTTTCTGCTCACACTGAAAATATAAATTCACTGTAATGGCATACACTGCGTGAAATAACCAGACAACAAATGGATAAAACACATTAAATGCAATAAGTTAAACACGAACATCCACCGTTTAATAACTTATTCAGACCAACATAAAACGAAGCAAGCAGCGCTGACACTTTATTTTAAAAAAAAATTGTGAAAGTGCGCGGAAAAAGAAATCAAGAACCAAGAAAAACAAAAAGCGTTGGCGGGCTCCATTCCAACATTTAAAAAGCACCTCAAGTAAAATAAAATGGCGAAGACTTAGCCTAATTTCGGGAATCATAAAGACATGCATTAAAAAAAAGAAGCCGTCATTTTGACAGGACACCAAAAACTGCCTTTATTAAGCACCTGAGCGCAAAATATCACATATCGACGCTTTTCAGACAGAAAAGTACAGACAGTAGGGGAATGAGTCGCTTTCGTACGTGCACTCTGTCTCACTGGACCATTGCTGGCATCAGTGATTTAAAACGCGCATCGGGTATGACAGGAGCTTTTTTCTTAAATGTTGTTAACACGATTACATGCCATGCAAGCTTTGAAAGTGGCGAAGCTCCGAGCATTTGCATCTCTCATGCATCCCCATGCACGGCGCGGAAGTGCATGCACTCACCATTCAGCGACTGCAGCGCATCGGACTTATTACAGCACCTACAGTCAGACAATTTTTCCGCTATTGTTTGTGTCTGCGGGGAGGTGGAAGCAGCCATTTTGCCCCGCACACATGCACTAACGCACCAAGGCGTGACGAACCGAATAAAGGCGGAGACTAGGCAAAATATTAAATGCCAGACATCAGTTACATTAATGAAGATTGCATTAAGAAATTAGCAAGTGTTCTGCACCATACAAAAATCTTTACAACTGCTTTCACAACTGCACCTGACAGCATTACAAACATCCCAGGGCATGCACAAGCTTTTGAGGTTTCTCTTTAGTGTATTTTTAACTTCTGACCACAAAGCAGATGAGGTAAAGGCTATTTATTTAATGGAAAATCAACATTTGAGTAAGTAGCTACACAATATAAACATACTGTTTTATCAACCTTTGAAAAGACAGTTAAAACATCTAAACATCATTTAAACAAGAATCAAAAAAAGTGATCAAAAAGTGAAACCAGTGAAACCAGTCTGAGCCCACTAGTGATTTTGCATTTTTGTTAATGCAATGCAAACATTTCCATCAGAAATGACATTATGACTACAATTTCAGATTTTTACAACAATCTTTCTTCACTATTTTACATAACCCTCCTTTTGCTTTAATGACAGCATGCACTTGACCTAAGCATAGATTCAAGTTTGTGCAAAAAAAAAAAAAAATCTTTGTTCTCTAGCATGACTTTGTTTCAAAGAGCATCAAAAGAATCAAAGAACATCTGACCTTTTTGAACAAATAAGCTTGCATTTGAGAAATAATGCAGACTCTTAAATATTTCTTAAATATGTTTTATATAATACATTTTTTAAAACATTGTGCATTATTATTTTTTAACAGACATTTTGCAGTTATATAAAGAATTTAGCAAGTAAGAACTATGACATGCCTCATGGCTTAATCTTTTAAAGTTGAAAAAAAAAATCAAACAGAAGTAAATCCCATCCACTTACCCTCCAATTCACTGATACTGTGCTCTTCCTTCCAGCGCCGTTTTGGAGAGTCAGAGGAACGAGTGGTGGGTTGTGCTGTCATGTTCTCCTCATCCTTTATGTCTTTCCTGCTCTCTTGCTCCTCATCAGAGTTTTGCTCTTGACCTGACTGGATAGTATGGGTGGTGGCAGTGGGTAGAACAAGATCTGGATACTTGGCAAAAAGCTCTCGGAGAATATTAATGGGAGAAACTGTGACTTCCCAGTTGGTGATGCCAAAGTCTCTGAGATGGGCTCGGGCATGACTGGAGAGACCAGCCCTGGTGTCAAAGCCGGCACTGCAGAACTCACATCTCATTACACTGAAGGTTGACGTGTCAAAGTTGGCGACTAGAGGAAGTAATGGAGAGAAGAGCATCAAAACAAGTTATATAACAAGCATTTGTTTCTGTGTCATAGATATGGCAATTCAACTCTCATGAGACATCAAGATAATAAGCATTACAAATAGTAGGTAAAAAGCCATCTGAATTTACATTTAAAAGCATCCTCACCTTTTTTCTTCTTTTTCTGATAGGAGAATTTCTTCTCAATGGCATTGACCTCTTCTGGGGAGATGAAGTGCCTAACGTTGTAACTGACACCCACTCTGTTCAAGTGACCCCTAACATGATTGGCTAGTCCGATGCCATTATGGAATTGATCTGGGCAATAAGGGCATTTTCTTTCCACACTCTTCAACAACCCCTCTCTATCATCATCTTCATCATCTTCCTCAGTTAATGCACCAATAAGGCGACTAACAACATCCTCTTCATCTTCATCAATATCATCATCATCATCATCATCCTCTAGTTTTGCAGCAACAAGTGTGCCTTCTCCACTCTTCTCCTGACTATCAGATTTGTCTTTGAGTTTGGGTTCCTCCTCCTGTGCTTCAAGCTTTTTGCTGTTCTTCTTTTGTGAGGAGGCGTTGGCTTTGAGATCCGGATCATTGGCAGGTGGCTCCGTCCCTGGGGTGGGGAGTGGTTATAATGTGGAGTGTTACAAAGTGTTCAACAGTTATATAAAAAAAACATCAAGACCAGTATTGCACAATTTAGAGGTTAAATGCAAACAAAATGTATGTGGGATGCAATGAGAATGGTGACAAGCTGAGTTAATGGAATAGTTGATCTAAAATGGAAAGTCTGTCATCTTTTATTGTTATCTTAAATCTTTTATGAAAGATTGTCATATGGGTTTGGAACACTGTGGTAAGTAAATGATGACAGAATTCTCATTTTTGGGCTCATTGTAAACAAAAGGAACAGCTTGGCCTGACTACTCTGCAACCGTTTAAGATCTCTGTGGCTCTGCTCATCACTCACCCATCACCCTGCTGCATGAGAGGGGAGTTTGGAGGTCAGAGCTGAGAGACTCTATGAGGAAGAGGGGTAACTTGTTTCTTAGCTGGGCTTGCTGCCCCTCAAGCAACCCCAGCCTCTCTGCTGCCCCTCGGAGGCTGGCTGAGAAGCTGCTCTTCAGCTGCAAGGCCAGGGCAGGTACCGCCACAGGGTCTGCAGGGGAAGGGACCAGGTTCAGACCAGGGTGAAACCTGGGATTTCCCCAAGTTTATGGCCAAGCATGACTCATGTGAACTTCTAGAATTTCAAGGCTTTCCATTTGCCCCCCATTCAAGTATTGGTCCTTGCTGACTATGGCCACTGATTGGGTTAACTGTTTGGGAAATATTGAAGGAAGAAAGTCTGTACACCACCGGCAGTGGCTAATAGTGAGCATTGGCCAATGGAACAGGAAGTAACACCCCACAATTATAATAACTGGCCAATGGAATGGGGAGAGTCACCACACTCCTTTAACCAGCGGCCAATCAAACAGGAAGTTGCACTACGCAAATTTTGGTTCAAGGATGATTCTGGCACATTAAATCCAGGCATCACAATAGCACAACAATACATACAGTGCATATACACATATACATGCTTCACTACAAGACAAAAGACAGAAGTACAGGTAATGTATTTATTCAGATTTTGCCTATATGAAATTGAAATTGTGAAAGCTAATTCTCATTGTTCTATTGTGGTGGTTAATGACAGTATTATTTAATGTGACAATGTTATAAAGAGATGGTGAGAAATTGATGAAAAATAAAGACCTTTCTGAAAATGCATTAACAATTGAATAGTAAATATATCATTAGTTTATGATAGTTTACAACCTCTCTTTTTCATTATGTAAATGTTGCACTGGTAAATCTAGATTATTTGACAAAAATACAGTTGATTATGCCAAGTGTTAGCATTTACTTAATACATTTACATTTATGCTTTTGGCAAACACCTTATCCAAAGCAACTTTTAGGGCATTCAAGTTTTATACACAGTTATACAGTTTTATGTACTGTATATTTCTGTTCTTTGGGCACTGAAGTCTTGCCATTGTTACCACCTTGCCAATTTAGCTACAAGGCTAAGCGTTGACTAGTCTTGGTGTTTAAATCCGTTATTGACTTACCTGTTTTGGAGTCTTGTTTTGGATCATGTTCTGGTTCTGGTGGTGGAATGTCTTTTATCTGGCCCTTATCTTCAGTCTGGTTTGAGATTTGGACTTGTTTTTTCATAACAGGAGTAAGGGTGGATTTAGGATCCAGTCTTGTACTTGCTCTTGTGCGCCCAAGTTTACCCCTTGTAGCCCAGACTGTGCGTTTATTCCCTATGCTCTTGAATGCCACATCCTTATGCCGCGGAGTAGCCCTTGGATTTGGCAGAGATGACATGAGATGCTGAGGTTGTGGAACATTCTCTTCCACAGGATTAGCCACAGTTGTCCTGGGCTCTTCTGTTTGTCTCAACTCCTCAGCAGGGTCTGTATTTTCATGCAGAGTTGCTTTACCAGGTTGGTCTGTGGCCTCTCCTGGGGTTGCAGAAGCATTTTGGCAAGACAATGAACTAGAGTCCACCTGTGAAGGGCCACTTTCAGGCTGCGTTTCTTTAGATTTTTTGGATGTTCGGATGGGGTACCTCTTGTTGAGAGGTGACGTGACGAAAGTTGATGTAACATCTGCAGAGGACTGAACCTGTCCTTTCTTGCAGGACTTCTGCTGAAATCGGGGGGAAGTTCGATAGACACCAGCCCTTGTTCGGGTGTTGTGCATCTTGGTATGCTCAGCAAGTTCTTGAGGCAAATCAGAGCTAAAGTTGCACTTAAGACACACAAACTGACTGACCTCTGTTGACTCTTGGATGACTGGCTCCAATGCCTTACTGCAACTGGCTTGCTCTGCCACCCCCTTGTCCCCCTCATTTAATTTTCCAATCTCTTCAACGATTTTCTGCCGTGACTCCTCGTGGCATTGTTGATGATCTAGCAGCAGTACCTTGTCTACAAACTCCAGACCACATTCTATGCATTCAAAAGCATTTTTATTAAGATGTCCACTCCAAGAGTCTTTCTTTCCACATTGCCATTTCTTCCCAGATTCACCAACTTGGCCATGCTCTCGCATGTGTTCACGCAGATGGACACGTTTCTTGAAGTAAATGCTACATTCTACACATGTAAAAATATCTTGGGAGAGGTCTCCATCCAGTTGGTGATCTACTACTGACCTCTGCCTTCCTCGTACCTTCTCTTCCTTTTCCTCTTTAAGTTTGAACATCCTTTCCCCAACCTTTGTGGTTTTCCTACGCTCCTGTGCTCCAGAGGGTTTTCTTCTGGTCCTTCTGCCAGCTCCCGTTGTGCATTGCCAAGTGTCTAAGCCAGAGAAAGGCCTCAATATGGCCCTCTTTTTTCTTCGGCGCTGGATGAAGGTGCATTGCGCCCAAGGTCCAGGTGGTGGACTCTCTGGCTCAGAGTCTCCTGGGAAGGTGTATACATCTGGCTCTTTGGTGTTCTTCTCTTCCCGCCCTCTACTATTAAGCATTTTCCGCTCATTTTTCTCTTCTTTTTGGCATCCCTCTTTTGGTGTAGTATCTGGTAGATGACTCACTTTGTCTTGTTCCACTGCAAGTAAACAGCAAAAGGTTTTATTGACTTAAGTAGTTTTTTATATGATGGTGTTATTGAATCAATTGCAAGTTTTTTTTACGTTTTGCTGTATGTTTTGGTAGGCTGGAGTCTGTAGTTTTCGGCTCCTTGTATGTAACATCTCCTTGATTCTCTACCTCCAGGGGGGCAAGTGGGATGTTTTCAAGAAATAAGTGCTTGGTTTCCACAGGTTCTTGGCACGGATCAATGTCAAATCTGCAAGCATAAGGATTAAAATGGATAAATACTTTAAAGCTTAATATTTATCTCCATAAAACCCCTCAATGTTAAAAAAAACTCCATGTATGCACTTTTCTACAAACCTGTTGTTCCGTATATTCATCTGTATCTTACCTGTCGTCTTGTTGTCCAGAGCTGGGACTTCCTGGGCTGTGAGCAGCCAGACCATGAGGGTTAGAAAAGTGCTGAAGTTCTTCCTCTGACATAAACCATTGGAATCCACACAGGAACACAAACATTATACACATGACTTAACAGAAAGCAGTAGACTCACAGTTATATCTACAGCATGTAGACAAACAAAACCATTAACACTGTTCACAGAGACACACATTTCACAGTACAAACACAGAATAGCTCAGTCTGAAACTAGCTGGATCATTTCAGATTCTCATTTCCAGTCAGGATTTCATACACTTTTAGGAAAAAATTTACAAAAGCTGTCAGTGGGATGGTACCTTTTCAAAAGGTACACTTTTGTACCTAAAGGGTGCATATTAGTAACTAAAAGGAACAAAAGTGTACCTGCAGCTTTTGTACCTTTTTTTCTGATAGTGTATGATTCAGACATGCATGTATTTTTCACTGACTTGAAAGTAAGAATGAACCAGAGAAATAATTACCGTCCAAGGTTTCTTTCTCCGAGTCCGAGTCCCATGTCAGAGATGAGGGGAAGGCTGAAGATCGTGGACTTCTCTGTACTTTACCACAATGCTCCAGTGTGGGGAAAAAGCATTTTGGACCGTCTGAATCTCCATTTCCATCACCCTTCTCCATTGTGTCATCACAATGCAATAACCCCCCCTGTGAGTTCAGAGGTTTGAAACAAGTCCAACATTACATAATTCTGTTTAGGAGAGAAATAAAATGTTGCAAGATTCTCACACAGATGCACACTGATTGTTAAAAGATATTTCTGTCATGACAACTCTCGGAGGGATTGGCATGGTAATGTACATGACAATGTTAATGTATTTGGTCTTGGCGGAATAGATCTGCTGCTGCTGCGGCAGAGCAAGTAACGAGACTTGCTACTGCCAATACATTCACAACATGCTGCTGTGAGCATGTAAGAAATATTGCTGCTGCAAATATAACATACATAAAATAACCCCTTTCCTAAGTCATCTTAAACCAGCACAGTTTAATAAGATTTCTGTCATGACAACTCTTGGAGGGATTGGCATGGTAATGTACATGACAATGTTAATGTATTTGGTCTTGGCGGAATAGATCTGCTACGCTGCTGCTGCTGCTGTTGCTGCGGTACCGAGACTTGCTACTGCCAATACATCCACAACATGCTGCTGTGAGCATGTAAGAAATATTGCTGCTGCAAATATAACATACATGAAATAACCCCTCCCCCCCATATAGCATACATGATTACCTCGTAGCAGATCTATATAGGTGAAGCTGGGGAAGGTGGAGGGTTTCTGAAGCAAGCTGCAACTGCTACGGCAAGCCCTAGTCATATATTTGAATGTTGAGCAGCGAGCTCATTGGCTACCGATACAGGAGAGAACCAATCAGCTGTGCCATGTGATAATGATGTCATTAGGTCAGATTGAGTTAGACCTATCGGACTGCGCCATCTAGAGTTTCATGCCAGAACTCTGTATATATAATGACAGTGTAAAGATAATTGTAATTAAAAAGTATTAAACTGTATCAAAGCAATGACTCACACATATTTTTTATATTCATAGAGTAACGGTTAAAAAAAATAAATTTTCTCCTTTCATTGGAAAAGTGAATAAATTATTACAAAGAGAAAAGGGGGAGTTAAAAGCTGTGTCCCAATTTGCACACTATCCTTCCTAAATAGTATTCAAAATATAAAATTAGTGTGTCACAAATTGTAGTATGTTGAAATAAGTATACCAAAGGTACTACAAACACAAATAAAAAGTGTAGGAAAAAAAAGAATAATAAAAATAAAAACATGGAGGAAATGGGACATTGACGTTTAATCAATATCAATATGATCAATATCTAACCTGATTAAAAAAATTATATAATGTTATCCACATTATATTGCATCTGCAACAACATTTTGAACTTTTAGAAAGATACATTTGCTCATTTGCTTTTAAATGATTCATTATGCAAACACATCGCCTTCTTGGCACGACAGACCTGCGACTGGTAGATCACCGTGCTGCTTCAATTCTAATAAGTTAGGAAATTAAATGAAAAGTGATGTGGAAGATGTTAACTGTGAGAAGATAATTGACAGGACAGTTTAAACAGTGACAGGATGCATGTAACTAAGTAACAAAATTATGATGAACTAGTGTGTCCCAAAGCTTGTCTACTCTTATGCTACACACTTAAAAGTAAGTCCTTTTTCTTCACAAAAAGAATACATATTTTTAGGGCACAGTATAAGTAGGCGAACTGGTAGGTGCCTTGAATATACCAGGAAGGTGCAGCTGAGTAAGGAGGTGGATGCTGAAGGCAGTAGCCCTTGGTTGGACATCAGATCTTGAGGGTCTCTGGTCAAGAGATCATCCTCAGGCTCCATGGTCCCCTGGTGCACTAGCTTGGGTGCAACTGCTGTCCACTTCTCCTGTCCTACATTATGAAGAGCAATTCTAATAACTGCAAGCATAGATATGGACCTGAAGCCTCAAAAGTCAAAATAGTATGGGGTCTTTAAAGAAAACCTATAGAAGAGCATTTGCAAGATGTTTATAAACTCAAGAGGTTAATTTGATGATAGATTATAGTGCTCTGTGCTGTCCGACCTTTGAAAGAGTGCATTTGAATAACTACATCTTTGTGTTGAATTCCTGAGAAGTGTCACTCTGACCTATTTTATCATGCCTCATTTTCTATGTTGATAATATGGCCGTTTTTACTGGAGGAAAAAAAAATATACCGGCTCCCTTAATAAATGGGCTCGTCCATGCAGTTTTCATGCGTTTCTAACTTGCGATGTCAGGACTATCTGCAAACGCTGTCCTTCTCCAGGAACACAATCTGTTAAACATCTTTCTGGATGTGTGCGGCGAGGATGGAATTGGGCAACACTCACGGAAAGCGGCCTGTCTTTGGAATCTTCTGCGTCCAATCACATCGCTCTCTCCATGTCCTATACGGATTCAAGTGGCACGAACGCACGGGCGCTTATAGAGCATGTGTGCGTTGCGCTTTTTGCGTCCCGGAGCGTCGCTGCCTTCCCCCAGGAGCACCGGGAAAAGCATATATATAGGTGCAGCTAACGGTGAAGACCGCCTTTGCACTCTAAACACCGGACTCCATGTTGTTCGTTTCGGAGGGATGGTGACGTTGGTGGGGAGGGGAAAGAGTTTATGTATCAGCCACGCTGTAACTCTTTCACAGCAGGTCTAGAGATGAACGGCACCTGATCAGAGCGGTAACAACGGCGTTGATGCGTGCGCGGTGCTTAGCGGACTATTTCAGTACACTTAGTGCGTGAATAACATTCTTATAAATGTCACTAATTTTAAGAGTAAAAAGAATGTAAAATGTTACAGTTCAAAATGGTAAAATAATTTAATAATTTAAAATATAGGCCTACATTAAAAATATATTAAAATGTATAATAGAAAATATTGTAATATTTTACAGGGACGTTTATGTAAAAATATAGAATGTATTAAGTAATTGTACATAATATGGCATTCATTTTTATAAGATTTTTAAGTCAGCTGTTATAAATCTGCTATATGAATAAATGTAAACATCAGTCACCTGCATAATATCTAGAATAATAGCTACTAATACATCTGTCTGTCTGTCTATCTATCTATCTATCTATGTGTGTGTGTGTGTGTGCGCGCGTGTGTGTGTGTGTGTGTGTGTCTGTCTATATGTCTAAACACTAGTAATGTTCAGTTATACTGTTCATAGATGTCTTTGGTAATTGTTAATATGCGCAAATAGTGTAACTACTCATATTTTAGCAAGAAAATGCCTTAGAACTTTTAAAGCTATGCAATTATTTAATTAACAAATATTAAAACATTAAAATATAATTTAAATCAAGCTACATTTAAGGTGAATCTATCTATCTATCTATTTATGTGTGTGTGTGTGTGTGTGTGTGTGTGTGTCTGTCTATATGTCTAAACACTAGTAATGTTCAGTTATACTGTTCATAGATGTCTTTGGTAATTGTTAATATGCGCAAATAGTGTAACTACTCATATTTTAGCAAGAAAATGCCTTAGAACTTTTAAAGCTATGCAATTATTTAATTAACAAATATTAAAACATTAAAATATAATTTAAATCAAGCTACATTTAAGGTGAATTTTTTAAAACACTGTTTTAATTCTAACCACAGCATTAGTTTTGTAAATATGCAAAATCATTTTAGCTAGATTTGCCGATTTTATTATATTCTAACAATGTAAAATAGGCAATGTGTGTGATCAAAATAATGTACTTCAACATTATCATTTTGTAAAGGAACTTGCTTTTGACCAAAAGTAAAGGCAAATTCGATTTTTGCCCATTTCTAATGTCATGTGTAAAACAAACCAAAAAACAATAGATATGGTTTTTAGAAGGAATTTATTATGCATTTATTATTAGTAATACATGTAATACATGTACTGTTTTCCAGAGACACAATTAGTTGATTGTGTTCATTGTTGCTGCCACAGTGTAACAAATTCAGTCCACTGAAGGCGAGAGTAGTGAGAACCCAAGTGCAGTTTATTTACAGTGATCCAAACACAATCCAAACAGACGAAGACTTGACGAGGCATGAACAGACTAGACTCACCGACAGCGAGTTGCAACTTCAATACACGACAAAGCACAATGACAACATCATGGCTACTTATAGCAAACATGAGGGTCACATGACAATAACAAACCAATGGGAAACAAGACACATGACTAGGACAACCAATCAGAACATGACACATACACAAGGCAGAGAGACATGAGGCAAGGGAAGCATGACACTAACAGGGACCATGACTAAACTCCAAAATAAAAGACATGAAAACATGAACAAGAAACACAACCCAAAACACCACATTCGTGAACTGCCTCCGTGGCCGTGACAGGACAGCCAGTGAGTTTGTGAACGGCCTCCGTGGCCGTGACAGGGCAGACAGTGAGTTCGTGAACGGCCTCCTTGGCCGTGACAAGGCAGTCTGTGAGATCGTGAACGGCCTCTGTGGCCGTGACAGGATAAGCAAAGAGTTCGTGAGCGGCCTCCATGGCTGTGACAGGGCAGACAGTGAGTTCATGAAGACAGTGAGTTCGTGAACTGCCTCCGTGGCCGTGACAGGACAGCCAGTGAGTTTGTGAACGGCCTCCGTGGCCGTGACAGGGCAGACAGTGAGTTCGTGAACGGCCTCCTTGGCCGTGACAAGGCAGTCTGTGAGATCGTGAACGGCCTCTGTGGCCGTGACAGGATAAGCAAAGAGTTCGTGAGCGGCCTCCATGGCTGTGACAGGG